TTAAGCCTAAATGTATTTACAGAACATACACATATAGAATTAATCACAAGTGGTTTTACACCAATTGAGAATATAAATTAGCTATCTGGGCTTCCTTTGTTAATGGGGAAGAAGAGAAACATTTAAAGGGAGATCCTATTCTATTCCTAGAAAAAAGATCTCAGGTAGTTGGGATGAATGCCTTCTGAATGGTTTCCTTTATACTGAGCTTAAATAACTATTATGGGTGAGACCATTCAGCAGGCTCAAGTTCAACAAATCCCACTCAATGCACTTTGGTATGATATAAATGCCTTGGATTGAAGGGTATGGCCTGGGGAGAGCACACTTTTATTAACTCTTTAGTATGTGTATGTGTGTGTGTGTGTGTGCATGTCCTGACATTGGAACAGAAAGATAATTTTAAAATGTTAACAAAAATAAAGTTAAATATATGTTAGGAACTGAAATCTGCTTCCTGCCCTTCTCAAGAAATAGTACTTCTCCCCTGTTAGACATAGAGGTCAGGGGCTACAAGGCAATGGGTCTGTAGCTCCCCTACAGCTAATATCTGTTCTATTCCATTTCATTATTTCTGCAACTGGGGTAAGGACATACATATAAGAGAATTTGGTTCTGAGCTTATTTATTTTAAAGAGTAAGAATATTTAAGAGAAAAAATAAAATATATTTTTTAAAAAAGGTAATATCTGAGGAATGAAAACACAGAGAAATGATAATGTCCTCAACCCTTTTAGAATGGAGACTAAGAGGTTTTGTCTGTGAGAGGTTACCAGGAGCTGTAGTGAGGGGAAAATTGCAATGAGCCATAGAACCACAGAATCATAGAATTGTAAAGACTGGAAAAGACCTCTAAGGTCATGGAGTCTAATAATTAAATAAAACTATAAAAGCACTGACTCTGTTGAAACCATGATTTTTAGTCATCAGCAGAGTTACAAATTTCACTTCCCAGGCTCATCTGTTGAGGTTTTTTTTTTTCCTGGAAAGGGAGTCAGGAAAAGCTCAGGAAGTCCTCCAAAAAATGAAGAGACCTCTCAACATGTCTAGACAAACACAAACTTGTGGTTCATATGGATCAACAGAAATAAACTCATGAACTGTACATATATGTGCGTATAGAATAAAAGTCCAAGAAAAAATATTTTCCTTGTATTGTCTATTCTCCCAGAATAACCAGTAGCACTGAAACCCCTCATTAAATTATTTTTTTTCTGTTTACCACTATTTTTCAGTGAAGTCAAAGGTACAAAAGAAGCATGAATATGAATAGTTCTGATAATTTGTTTTTTTAGCAAACCAAAAGCTTATTTACAGTTTTCAGAGGTATTTCAATGGTCATTGTATTTAAGATCACTGCTAAACCTCATGTTCATATTAACAAATAGGGAATAAAAGAGAAGCTTTAGATTTGCTAATTGGAAGTTGTCATGTCTTTAGTAACTTGAGTGACTGACTGAAGACAATTTCCCCTCTTGCAGGAAGATTGATGTAAAATCCCTTTTAAAGTGCTTAATCTTATCTATTGTGTTCCCATTTTTACAGAAATGAACTAAATGCTCTTCTAGTCATGGCTTCAGATGTGCTGTAAAAGATAATCTTCCAAGACTGACAGTAATAGATTGTTATGGACAAAGCAGGGAACTCCAAGGCACTTGGGTGCATATTTTAAAAGGTTTATGGAAAACCTCTCCACAGATTTAACTTTAAAAGTCCATTCTTAGTACTAAAAGTAGTTATATGTATAGTGAGATATGTACATTTGAGATACATAATGCATAATGATGATTCTTTGATTTGCTTTATATTATAGTTTAAATGACGTGTTTGTGTATTCCTGTCATGTGTTGTATGTATTTATTGGTCTAAGGTTTACTCTGGGTAAAACTATCCTTAGAGCAAACACTCAGCTCTACATCTCTGAACCTACAGGTTAATTCCATGTGATTTCAACTTCCATCCTTTAACAACAAATTACTATTTATGTAAACTGTCAAATCCACATAGGACAGGCAGCCGCAGAAGAAACTGAAGTGTATAAACCGTAGAAAGAAGCATAAGGCTCCCATAAGAGACTAGTCTTTCATTTTCTGTATTTAGCCCAGCAAGAGTGAATTATTCATTACAATCAAGCTAAAGCTCCTCCAGTCTTACCAGTTCATCCACAGATTTGTTGAAAATTAAAGCTCAGTGTGAAGCCTCCGGAGAATTAGTCTGAGTTAATAACACCTGTAAAGAACAGAGATTTCACTGTGAGGTAAATTGCTGTGTGATTGCCCACACATCAGCAAAAATTGTAATTGGGAGAAACTGAATATTTTCTCTGTTTTTAACTGGTGAGGATTTTGTGGGGTGTCATTTTACGTTAAGTAGTACAGTTATAATTTAGAATGTTTCACAGCAACTGATTGTGTTTATTTTAACAGCAATTTTTCTTTTCTATGAGAAGATTTCTATTACTGTTAGCTGCTATTGCAACTTTATGCAATACATGTTTAGAAACCTTTCTTATTCTTAGGGAAAATTGTCAGAGACAGGCTTTAAACTGTGGAATTTTCTCCCCATGATTTCTTGTGAATTTAGAAGTTGATACTTTCCCCTACCTAGCTGTATCTCATAAAGAGCAAGCTAAGTCAGGATTTTGATCTCTACATCTGTACCATATGTACACTCAGCAGCTCCCTGGAGAGCAGTAGAAACTACCTAAAGCATAGTTTTTTCTTTCTTCCAGATGTGTCAGAAATACACTCATAAATAACATGAAAAATTCAGATGGAGCTCCTAAATCAAATAGGATATTAATATTATTATCTATCAAAAAAAAAAAAGAGAAAGAAAAAAGTCAAATTTCCTTTTCTCAGTGTTGTGCTACATTGTTACATACTGAGGTCTTATTTCCTGCATTTTCCATGAATCCTGTATTAATTCACAACTAATGTTTGTGGCAGAATTCAGGCTTCTGACTGATGATGGTAACACAGCTCCAATATGAAATGGATAAAACTTATATCATTCAAGATAGGTCTACATGGGAGAGCCTCCGATAGACTCCTTTTGCCTGTCTTTTGAAGAGAACCAGCTCTGGTCCACAGTGCTATCCTTGGTAGCAAGATGTAGCACTGAGCTCAGTAGGTTGCTCAGAGACTTAGTTGCTTGTTTCATGCAAGCTAACACAACTGAATGTGCCTTCTGTGTTGGAACTTCTTGGCATCTGCCTGCTTGTCTCTGGACAAATGTGCTTTTGTGGCTTGCAAAGCTATACGACCTCATTTAAATCATAATGCACAATTTATTTACACAGTTACAGTGCCTGAACCTTATTTAAAGCTCTTTGCAGTAGAGAATATGCTTTTAAATTATGCACTGAATGCTACCAGGAACCTGTTGGTATAGTCTTTTGTCCTTACCTATTAATCTCTTGTCACCTTTCTCATTTTTCTTCCTTACAAAGATCAAGTGCTTGCCTCACTGAACTTGAACTCATAGTCATAGTTGTTGGGTTTTTGTTTTGTTTTTTTCCTTTCTTTTTTCTCTTTTTTCCAGTTGTGACAGGAAAAAAACCCACACTGGTTAAAGACAAAGGGAAGAGGAACATATCTGAGAGGGACAACTAGTTTTGTGTGTGTACTTTTAGTGCAGTGAAACTTGCCCCAATAAATTCCATACACCTTTCACAGTTATTGGAATAAAATGTCTCTGGTCTGAAAAGCAAACACATAAGAGACAGGGAACTCATAACTACATGAATGTGCTAGACAAGAATATGTAGTGGTTACTCCTGCTGTACATAACAGCTGAGCTATTCTTACTGCAACACAACTAAGGGCTAATATAAAACAGGTTTATTTCCTTGGATTAACATGGGATATATTAAAAAATAATTTTCTGGCCAAGGAGACTTTTCAGGCTCATATAGTCCTGCTGCTTGCTCCAGAGGTTTCTGAGAAGTGTAATAAAATAACAAATCCCTACTGGCTGACTAATCTTTATCCACAACACTTCAAAGCATTTCCCTTGTTCACTTTAGAACAGAACTGTGGGTAAGTGGCTGCCAGCCACTGTCTCTGAAAGTCCTACCATGGACTCCAGCTTCAAGTTTCTAATCTCTATGTCACTGATCATGGATCATCCTAAAGTTTAACTCAGCTAATAGAGGGCTAGGGGAAGACCTGGTGTTTGGCTCAGGGCTCTAGGGAAGAGGAAACAGGTGTATTGTATAAGCAAACCTCCATGTGTCAACATTCATGCACTTGTCAGAGGAATTTATGTGCTCCAGCTGTGCTGCTTGAAGAGGGGATCTTTCAGTATATATTTATCTGATGTATTAGGTATCTGAAATGTACTGTCAGTTTCTTTCAGAGAAAAACTTTGTAGCATTGGGAATGTAGTCATGAAGATGATCGAGCATCACCATAGGATCCCTTGGTATTAACCAAAGTAGCACAGCTGATTGGGCTAGGTGCCATGTAGTGGTAGTTAACCCTTGTCTAAGAGGAAAGGGAATGAGGCAAGGAGTTGACTGTCATTTTACAGAGAGGGAAAACAATGCACTGAAAGAATGTGTGTTGAGAAAACCAATGCAAATTCAGAGGAGCAAAAGTAGAAATCTGAAAGAAGTCTTATGCTGTGAGCTTCTAGACCATGTTTCAGATAGTCTGTGTTTGGTACAAACTTCTGTTGTTTCAAAGCTTTTATTTTCAAAATATGACATCCACATTAAAGATACCTCAATAAAAGGAAAAACAATGGCCAAAATTTAAAGAAAGGAACTCCAGGTATGCAAAACAGACTCCCACTTGCTTGAGTTCAAATGGTTTATTCCTGCTCTGTTACAGATATATACCTGAATTTAGATGTGTATATTTGAATCATGAACTTATCCACAATTTATGGAAATTTGTGTACATGGAGTCACATCTATCTCTAAGTTTGAAATATTCTTGGAATATAAATCTTATAAAAACAGTTAACAAGAAAAGAAAAAAATTCTGGTTTTCTAGGTTGTCCTGGGGCCAAGAAGAATGAGTTCCTGACTAGTGTTTTGGATGCATTGTCCACAGACATGGTGCACGCAGTCTCTGATCCATCCTTGTCTTCTAGCCGGTGGGTTTCAGATCCTTTTTATGAGTCTTTAAAAGGATTCTGGCAGTGGTGAATGAATTGTTGATGGGCTTGAGAAGCCTTCACAAAGGGTAAATTTCCAAGAACTAGGAGACTTTACTTCAAAGTTATCACTGTAGACAATATCCACTAAACAGAGATGCACTTGATAGATGAATTCTTGGCAGCACAGATTAGAGTTTATCTGTAGCTGCTGGTGCAATTGTCTGTCAGGTTTTTTTCTCCTCTTAGGCTTTATTTGAGGAATGTGTTTTACTTTCCTGATTCGTATTTTGCCTAGTTGTTTGCAAAACAAACCAATGCTATCAACAGTCACAGGTAGCATTAAAAATGCATAAATACTGTCAAAATTTGGGCATCTGTAGATCAGGTGTTTATCACCTGAAGAGGAGATGGCATTTATTGTAATAACTTATCCTGTAATTCAATACCTTCAGGTGTTTCATCTCTAAGAGCATCCATCATGGGTTGTAGTTGGAGTCTAGGTACTTGGCGATGCTGATTGTTGACTTCAGTTGATTATACATTTAATGCATCTGCTGTCTGTGCAACTGTCTTTTTCTTTTTTTATTTCTCTCTTCATTTTTCTCTTTTTCAGGAAATTAAAGGGGAAAGCACTGTTTGCCAATGTGGTGCTGATCTCAACAGGGTTTCAGAGAGTTAACTAATATTCCAGCCCTTAGTGTAAAATTTAGGGTACAGTTGGCCAAAGAGAAAAAAGAGGGATTTACTGCAAGAAGTTAGTGTCCAAAAGCAGGGAGATTTGTGTAACAATACATCTGATGGTGATGTAACTATTCTGAAATAAAGGCACAAACCAAGGTTTATGTATCTTAGAATTAAGACTGAACTCTCTTTTTTTCCTGTTTCAGGGTTTCAGAGCCTGATCCAAATCATACTCTGGAAGAGAGAGTGGTCCATTGGTATTTCAAACAGCTAGATAAAAATTCCAGTGGGGATATTGGCAAGAAAGAAATCAAACCCTTTAAGAGATTCCTGAGAAAGAAATCAAAGCCCAAAAAGTGTGTGAAGAAATTTGTGGAATACTGTGATCTGAACAACGATAAGTCCCTGTCAGTTCAAGAATTAATGGGCTGCTTGGGAGTAACAAAAGAAGAAGGTAAAACAGAAACAAAGAAACGCCATAGTAAGAAACTTTTCTATCTGTCTTTTTCACTAAATACTTCAAAGCTGATGAATCCTGAGATTTATAAGTGCCAGAATCATAAAAAATAAAAGAATACACCCGTCTGTAGCTAATGCAGCTGTTGCTAAGGGCAGATGGCAGGAAAGTTGCTTCTGTGTAGGCGAATCATCACTTTGCTCCAGCAGAATCAAAAACTTCCTGTTGATTCTGACCATTAAATGTATTACAGTAGGAAATCTCAGAGGATATGATAACATTAACAGTCATCGAAAAGCCAGTTTAATGTTATTACAGTACTACGTTCTGAATGAATGGAAGTATCACACCTGTGCTTTTTGGATTCCTGGAAGGAAGCATGTCGTTGAACTTTCTAATGACTTCTCATTTCTCAAATGTGGTTTAGAGATAAAGCAAGGAATGCAGTCATCTGCCAAACAGGTGGAACAGCTGCTGATACATAGCCTCCTTACCTTGCTGCCAAAGTAGTAGAAAGGGGAACAACTAACTACAGAGAATAATAGGCCCTGCAGAGTTCAATCATGCAATTCCTGAAAATGAAGAAGAATCTAAAAAAAAATTTATAAACAACAGCAGTAGATCCTCATACTTTAAGAAGTTGCAGAACAATTAATATAGGCAAATTGGTTTGTCTGGTACCTTAAAATGAAGGGAAGACAGTAAAACAAAGATGTCATTGGTTTTATTCAAGTCCAGAAAGGGAATACTGCGGAAAGACAGAAGAGCTCTACATTTTACTACTAAATTGTAAAACAAATCTCTCAAAACAAGTGTCAATCAAATCCAGAATTTTTTTTTTTTTTTTTTTTTTTTTTTTTTTTTTTTTTGTGGACCTAATAATAATACCTTACAATTTTCACTTAGGTGATGGAGTTAATAATAATCGTAATACCTTGCAATTTTCACTTAGATGATGGCGGTTAAAAAAATGCATATGAAGTGGATGACTGTTGTTATCTTTATGCTAAAAATGTGGAAAGTAAAATGCTTCTGTCCTGCTGCAACAGGCACTCCTTGGGCTTATTTTAAATAAAATGTGGGTCCAAAATCACTACCCAGAATGTAAAGGAAAGCCATAGCAAGACTGAAGGCAAACCCCAGCCTTTTTGGTGCACATTCCAGAGAAAAAAACCCTCAAAGATTAGGATAAACTGCCTGTTTTGGAAAGGAAAGTTTTAAGATGCATGAAATTATATAAAGATTACACAGAGATTTGGCTAAAGTAAAAGTTATGTTCACTATAACAGGAGTTTTTTAACAGATCTTCTCCAAAAAAATCCATTCAATAATGAGAACATTCAACTTTGGAATGAAAAAACTTTGACATTGAAAAACTAATGGCATTCAGTTGGAAAAAAGTTCTAAAAATCATTGGGTTGCTTTACTGGAAATACATAGTTTTAAGGACAAGACAATAAAAATGACTGTTGTTGGAATATCATTATTCTGTTTTGTTTCTCCTACTTGATAATTAAAATTTCCTTTCTGATAATCCTTTCACTTGCACAAAAAGAAATCAACTGGCACTTCACTGCAGCTACAGTTACATTTCTAGGAAAAGATGAGACCCTCGTTGTCCGAGGTGTGAGAGCTCAGACAAGGAGGTGGTTCTGTATCATTTTCTTTGAATCCCAGGTGTCTGGTATGAGAACTATTTGAAGCAATATAAAAACCATACAGTTGCAAAGCATGCTTTCTGAGCGGAGTACTAGTTGCTGCAATATTTCTCAAGGTCCAGTTTTGTTCCCCCTTGTCCCATTACAGCTTGATTGACTCGCAAACTGACATGGAAAACCAAAAGTGCGAGCTCCTCCCTAGCCTTACAAATTTGCTTGTGAAGTTGAATGGGCCAACAGATTCATGAAGCTTATTGGGGTTTTTTCCCCCATTTTGAGTACTGTCTTGGACTTTGACACTAAGAAACTTAAAAAAAACAGTGATAATCTTGTAGTTTTACAGTTTAAATATGAACAATGTCTTTGGCTTACAGAACTGTTTCTTTACACTATCTTTAAGCAAAATGAATGCTTTCCAGACAGTCTGCTTGTCCACGCTTCTTTCTCACCAGGGATAATAGACTGTATTTACTACTAAAGATTTAACAAGTTTGAAATGCTCAGCAATGACTAGATGCAATCTCCTAAGCAAATGTCACATATTACCTGGCAAGAAATGTTGTCATTTAACTTTCATATAACTCCATGAAAGAAGCAACACCTGTATGAGGAAAGAAAAAGGAGGACATTTCAATGAAAGATCTGAAATATTTTATTTCATTTATTGAAAGCTACTCTTAAAAAATACCTTTTCATAATGAGATCTTAAGTTCTTGGGAATGTTGCATACAACTTGCAAACCACACTTATAATGTTTTATTTTCCCTCCTTTAGCGGCCCCTAAAACCAACACTGAGAGCACTTCATCCAGCAGGCAGGTGAGTACTGGGGAAAGAAAGATCTCCATTTTTGCCTTGACCAGCTGACTTTCTTGGGGTTTTAGCAGTTAGCATTTCAGTTTCAAACTACATTAATCTGCCATTCTGCAGACTTGCCAGAAAAATGTAGACCAGCATCCCAATTAACAAATTTTGGCTTAAGTTCTATCTGGGGAAAGCTGAATCAGTCAATTCCAGGTGCAAGTAAATGTACATAATGTGCACAGTGGATTAGGCTTGCATTTGAAAGCTCGTAGGAAAGTGTAAGTTGACATATAGGTTATGATAATTTGATGACTGTAACTGAGCCCTCATGAGGCTTCTGCATTCCTGAATGACAGCATTCCAATACACTTTTAAAAGTGCACTGCTTTATCTCCATTTATGTTTTGCTTTAACTGAATTTTGTCAATTTTTCTTTGTGCCACACTGTAGACACAAACTTACATTCACTGAAATTACTATTTGTGAACAAAGCCGTGGATTTCCCATGCCCTGTGAAAATCTGTACATTTCACAAACCCCACCAAATTACTAAATGATGGCTTTAAACACCTTTTAAAATCTTAGGGCAGAGAAAAGAACTGTCACTTTCAAATGCCTTTGCTACCTGAGCAAAAGAATGTTGAAGAACTAGGATTTTTATCAGTCTGCTAGTGTACATTTAAACTAAAATTGGCTTGGTCTGCAGAATGATTGGTGCAAATAAAATGTCAGATGCCCTGACAACATAATCTGTGATTTGGTTTTGTATCAATTTTCTGCAAATATTTCATTGTGTTTTTTGAAATAATACCAGTGTATGTCATCCGTGGAGGTTTGGCTAGTCAAGGCATTCAGAGCTGCAAATGTCACAAAAGTGGAGTTTTTAAATGAAGGACAGGTACATTTTGAAAAGGAGGGACTGAACTGAAAGTTCAGGAAAATAGGTTAAAAATGGGTTTCTCATTTGTATGTGTCTATTTTTAGAATCATTAATTCTAAAGATTCAATTTTCTGGGCTACATAGGCATACCTTCCTAGTACTTTTGCATGGTTCTGAAGAAAGACTTGTAAGTTATTCGAATGGTCTAGTAAAAGAGTCATCTTCACACTGTTCTTACCTCACCATTGCTTTAGTTAGAGGAATTGAATTATTAATTCCCACGAAAGCATCAGTAAATTATGAACTGGTTTAAAAAACATTAATGTAAACATATTATAAGAACAACTCAGGTAATCCTGCACCTGTAAAAATAGGAACTTGGCTAAAAATATCCCAAAACCATAGTTGTGGTAAATGTCGTCCCATCTATTGTAAAGTTAGGTTAGTTTGTTAGAAATTAAACTCAAGGTGAACCTCCCCACAAGCCAAGAGAAATCTTCCTCTCATCATTGCTCATCATTTTGTTCCATTTTTCATCTCTCATTTGTTTGATGTTAGGTTCACACTTCCTAAGGCAAACTCAACATTGGTTGTGGGTTTTACCAGAGACCTCCTACAAAACTTTGATGGAATATAAAATATTCTCACAGCTACAAGGATGTGATAAGTTTCTGTTTGTTTAAACAAATATTTGTGGTCTTAATTTTTCCAGCTTTCCCCACAAATTACTTATGCCTTTAAACAAGGCAGCCTGAAAACTGTTATCCTGTCGGAACTCAAAAACATGCAAAGGGGTTATTTTAATTATATTACTGGCACACGTGCATTTCACTTGAAGCATGACAAGCCCTCTCCCCTTTCTTGTAATCTGATCCTGAGTTGCAGAGTCTGTAATAAAAGTATCCTTAGAACAGCTATGGTTTTTAATTTTGACCAATAATTTTGCTGACTCAGCATCAATTGTTTTAAGAGCTGTTGCTGACAAATGATAGCCTTAAATTAAGGCTGGCTAAGCAAACCATCTGTTGGCGGTTTCATACTTGAACAATACATGACTGCAAATGCAGAAGGTAGTTCTCATCACAGAAGTTCTCGCTTGAAAAGAGGTTATTGAGCCACTCAAAGGAAACCACCCATCTGAGGGCATGATAAGATTTGCACCGCTCAGGAGACACACACTCAAAAGGTCATTTTCTACTAGTTTACTGCAGCAGTTTAGTTATATATATGCTTATGTGTGCTTAAGGGTGTATTCTTGAATATGTTTTTTCTCTATATGCACATTTGTGTGCGTACAGGTACATACAAGCTTACTGAAAGAAAGCAGATAGAGAAACATATACTAATATGCTAACTGAATATCAGCTGGGGTTGTTCCAAAAGAACAACGTGATGGGTCTGACAGAACTAAGGTAGTGGCCAGGTATGTTTCCCTTGCTCAGCTCTGCCCTGTGCAACAAACATACACATACATGCATACCTGCTGTCAGTGAGACCCAGAGGGTGTTTTGCAGCCTAGCAAAAAGTTTACAGGGAAACTATAGGTTGTTCATGAGACTTTGGCCAGCAGCCCATTCCTTATACATCACATGCTATAGAAAGGTATATTGCACCAGGGACTTGCCAAGGCAGTTGCTAAAACTCTGTGTTCAACAGTAATAGATTTAAAGAGACCATAGGTAAGAAACAGTAAAGATGTTGCTCATATCCTTGCTCATAGATGCCATGAAGGGAAGGGATTTTTTTTTTATTCCCCATATATATTTGTGCAGAACTCGCCTTCTGATAGCATCATGTTGACACTGTTGAGAAATAGAGATAGATAGTTATACTGTATTAATGAAAAATATCATTAATGACACAAATTTTTCCAACTTCTTTCAGCAAGTTTCTAAGAAGCAAGGGTGAACATCTTACCGATCCAAGGCAGATCTCTTTGACATGTGGGAGATTTCCTCACCAAAAGGCAATAAAAACAACTGTAGTATTTGCACTTTGTACTTAAAAATGTAAATTCACTTTGTAGAAATGAAATATTTAAGCAGACTTTTTTTAATCTGTGAAAATGTAATGACTAGTTTTGAAAAATTATCACATACAATGTATGTGTATTCTTTTGTTGTCTGAAATATGTAAAACATGTTGGAGATGTAAAAGTTTGCATTTAAATCATTTTTTAGAAAATAACTTTTTGGTAAAAAGTAGCATAGAAACCTGATTCTATGTATTTTGGTTTCAATAATATGCCTCATTTTTCTTAAAAATGTCATTTAAGTAAAGTTATACTGAAAAGTCTACTGTATTCTCAATTTTTTTCCAAACAGTGTTGAAAATTTCAGGTTTGTAGGACTGAGAGAATTATGTAAATTGCTGTTTACTTAGTTTTGCAGTTTTTTCATTGGTGGCAATATTTTATGTTGTTTTGTTTTTATTGTAATTATTAGGCTTTCCAAAGATCATGCAATGAGAATACTACCACTAATGGATTAAAAAAACAGTTATTCTACTTGGGATGTTTATAGAAAAATGTATCCTTTTATCCATTTTTAAAATTCCTTTTATTATAAATTTTAGTAGGATTTTTCTCCTGTTTGCTTTCACTTGGGATATTAGTACAGCAAATCAAAAAGGAGTAAAGTGGATTGGATTGTAATGTCACTCCTGTCTGGTTCAGCATGGGCCTAAAAGCATGTTTCTGTGGTCAGTGTAAAGCAGCAGCAGAGTTTATATGGGTCAGAATTTAAATCTTGCTATAGAGATGGGGAATGTCAAGCAGATGGTTCAATCTTTTTTCACCCCACACCCTATCAACTCTTTAGCTTGCCTCAGGGTCCACTAGAGGTAAAGCTGAACAGCAGTTACCCTCAGGAGGGGCTACTCACATCACCCCTACCTGAGACTTTTTCCTTGCTGTCTGAAAGAAATTTTCATAAGTTCTCATACCTTCTCTGTCATTTTTTCCCCGTGATGCTTTTTCTTTTGGTATTTGTGTCTGAGGGGAATAAGAACTTGCAGATATAAATTTAGGGCAGGGTACCCAAGTGAAAAAAAGCACTGCTTTTGAACAATTGTGAGTTACAAGTAGCTGAATTGATCAATGCAGTGGTAGAAGGACTGCTGGCATCTAGGAGCTGACAAGGGAAGGTAGGAATGTTGCAACAAGCAGCGATTTCATTCTGGTTTGTTTAAACAATGTATGGGAACTCACATGTGACTAGCAAATCATAATAGCACCTTGGCTTGAACTTGTACCTGGTGAAGCTTTTTTGCTAATAAAAATGTTTCATTTCAATTCTGACATATACTGAAGTGACAGGAAACACTGTAAGAAACGGAATCGTACCCCAGAAATTATGTACTCTAAGCTTTGGTAGCAGGAGAAACCAAGATGCACCTGTGTGTTATCTTGTATTTTTGTTTTAAAAAGTATTTGTTATTCTTTGATACTGTTAAACTTTGAATTTAATCTTCTTTATAGATTAAAGGTCAGTATGTTATCAAACTATGCTGGTGATTTTTATTTTGCAACGTAGCAAGCCATGTTGGGAAACAAATACACACAGTGGTGACTTCACCACTGCATCGAGTTTACAAGAAACCTCCTGAGTGCACATTGTGTCAATCTTCTTTTCTTTCTTTGTCCCTTTGTGGAATTCTCTTCATGCCTTATTCATACCACTGCTTTCTCAAAATAGTAATTTTGAGGCCATACCCTTTGATGCTACTGTCTCCATATAGCTTCAGTTTAGTCTCTTGCCTTTTCTCAGCAAAGTGAAAGATGACACCTTTTCCCTTTGATGACACTGTGAGCTGCTGGGCAACATTCAGCCTGGCTTGAAACAGTGAGGAGAGAGAGGCAAACCCTGAGAATTCTCAGCGCCTGGTTAGGTGGTCACAGTATGATTAACAGCAGCATTTTGTAAGAAGAATCTAATTCCACCACTGTGGCCTTTGGAGACAATATAAATGTAGGTTACCAAATATTTTGCCAGGTTCATGGTTTGAAAGTGCACCCCATTTAAACTAAGAGGGTGAGTGGGGTGGCAGATTTGGACTACCCATGTGATTATATAATGAGTAGCTTCAAACACTGATGGAATCACAAATAAATGCTAAAGACACTCTTAAGTATTCGAAGACTTCTACAGCACAGAGTCATTTAATAACTCTACAATGACTGAAACATGAGGTGTTTCCTTTTTGTACGTATTTCTGTCTCGTCACTTTTATAGTTTATTTCAATTACCAGCAATTACACCACTTGAATATAAGTAGTACTGATTCTCATAGTTCCAGTTAGAGGCCATATCCCTGATGAGATCACACTTGAAAGCCTGCTAAATTCACCTTGGGTTCCTGTATCTTCCATATATCCGCAGGAAAGTTAAACTTGGATCAATCTTGGTTTTCTAGTTGTAACCAAGCATGGCCTTGATACGAAAAAGGAATCCATGTGAATAGGCCTTTAGGCTCACACCGCAGTACCAGTGTTTATTTAGTTACACAGTAATTAATTAGTTCTAGTTTTTATCCTATTCCATGTGCAACAGTTTAGTTTCAGTTTTAATTATGTTCTTATTGAAAACACAATATATTCTGCTTCTCATTGACCAATATTTGTTCTAGTTCCAGCTATTACTGAGCATGTTTGTTCAGAGCTTTTATAAGGTTGTAAATAGAAGACTATAAGGTTTGAAAAATACGTATTTATTCAGTGATTTGTCCAGCCTGTTGCAAGGTCCATTAGTCAACAGGCCACACAGCGAGAAATGTTCTGTGTTTTGTCAACACTTTGAAAAACTTTCTCATTTTGTTTTCATCCCCAAATATAGGCCAATTTCATAGTTCAAGTTTTACCAATACTACTTAATTCTCAGTCTTCTCCCAGTCTAACAAAATGCCTAGCTTTCAGATACTCATTTTGTAGAACTGGGACCTAGATGATGGCTCTGAATGAAAATTTTTCTTGCTAATGTCATTTCAGATATTAAAAGAGTGAAAGAGAGAAGACTTTAACAATGCTCACTGCATATAAATAGAGGAATACACTGTAGTTTTTTTATTTGAATCAGGTTTTTGCCCTTCATAAATGCCATAAGCTATGGAGAAAGGAGGCATTCCTAGAAAGCTGGAAGGAAAACAAAAATATAGATTAAATCATTAAAAACATTTAACTGTGTCCAAGATTTGATATATTTAACTAATATTTTCCTTTTATAGTAGTAATAAAAGATGGATTAATGGAAGTTAAGAAATCTTTGCTCACAAAGATAATGCAGTTGTCCGTTTTAAATATTTACACTAGTGTATTACATAGCTAAGTTACAGAAACTAATGGGAAGAGTCTTTAGTACAAAAAGTGAAATGTTTATTACTTTTGTTTCTTTAGGATGGTAAATTGATGTAATTTTGGGGTAATTACTTTGACATTAAATCAGAACCAACTAAGTTTATTGATGTCTTAAACATTAGAATGATTGTAATAAATTATTGATACAAACTGTACTCTTTGTCCCATTTAATTGTTCCAGTTCAAGTTTTATAAGTGAAAATATGCCCTTTGTTTAAAAGACATAAATAATACATTTTATTTTTTTTTCTTTAAGCAAAAACTCATGTAGAAAGCATTCAGAAAAACACATTTCTCTAGAACATCCAATGAGGGGGATAACAGGGAGACAATTCTATTTTTATCTATGTTAACAATAGAAGTGTATGTATATACGTCCACTTCCCCTTTTTCATCATGTACTTTGTCCTCTCACTGCTGGTATACAAAGCTTTTTGGAAGGGAAGATAGTGAAATGAGAGTCCATTCTGTGCATGTGTATAATCTTTTCCATAAAATAGAGTCATCTGAGTTGTCCTTTCCCTAGATACTCTCTTTACTCGTTATCAATTCAATGCATAGGATTGCTTACTTCATATCAAATACAGAATCCTTCTCTGCACAGGCATGGAATCCATTCGTGTCTAAATGGGTAGAAGAAAATCACTCATAAATGATCAGCGCAGTCTATGAGATTGCAGGTGGACAGCCGTAAGTTTTTATTAAGCCACAAAAAACAGTTTATAAAGATTTACAAAGCCCACTCAGTATGTGAAGTACATCCATGAGGATGCCTATATTCAATCAGGAAAAAAAAAATGAAAAAAGTGGTGAATGAAGTTTCCATTGAGAACCATTGTTTCACTTAAACCATGACTGACTAATCTCATGTAATTGAGGTTTTGTACGAAACTTCACTTTTAAAGGATTTTTGATGGTTATTTTTATGTTGAAACTTCTTTTCCGTTGTCTAACAAGCATGAAGTGTCAACACAGAAAAGGCACATTTGAACACCAGTTTTGTCCCAAAATTAGATATTTTGAAAAGCAGCAGCATTCTTGCTCTTCCACAAATTAAAAAAAAAAAAAAATCATAGAATCATATTTGTTTAAAAGAAGTTAGGTCTCCAAACATTAATTTACCATGCTTCATCTGCGTTTTTGAGTGCCTTGCTATACCTGTATGAGGCAAAGAAATGCTAAATTTTCATTTAACAGGAGTGGGGCTTGATGAACTGATGGATTTAGCACTGTATGCACAAGAAACATGAAGATAACTTCAATATGGGTAAGGGTACTTATATTAGTTTGTATCTATACAGCACAGTTGAAGAAGTGTGGATTAGTGACCCTCAGAAATATAAAGGACAAACTTTTTTTCCAACTTGCAAAATAAGCCTGCCATGGGTCTAATTGCAAAAACCCTCAAACCTAAAATAATCTAGCATGTCTCATTTCACTCAAAGGCTGATGTGAACCACACTCCACTTTCAGCACTACCTAAGGAACATCTCTAGCTCTGTTGGTGTGCAGTTTCCCAGGTAGTCTTCCTGATCCGCAGCTCAGGTACAGTCCTCTGAGACCCTCAGACTGTGATACTAGTGGGACCAAGACCCAGAACAAAGGACACAAGAAAAACCATAATGAGAGATACTGTAAAGTACAGTATATTACTCCATAGCTCAGATTTTTTACCCTAGTTGGCTGTGTTCCACTGAAAACTCCTGCCCTGTGTCATAAACAACAAACTTTAAGAACTTGCTTCTTATTCCATCAAATCCATACTCAGAGTGATAGAACATCATGCTTCAACTGAGTGAGAGTCTGTCAGTCTCAGCTGAAGGGCATTCGAGAAATACTGTGGACTCTCAGTGGTTTCGTGTGCTCAGTTAACTCCCGCTGACCAATTCCTCTTTCTGCTCAGCAGCATATGATAGAGCAGTGCCTGCACACATCCTTTCTTTAGTGCTCTGCAGATGAGAGGTGTGCTTCTCCTTCTGTAGAATATTTCTTTGTGTCGAATGCTCAGCATTGAGGAGGGAAGTTTGTTCTCTGTTTGTCTCTTGCTGTTGTCCCAGGAACCTGAATTGCATCATTGCTGCTTTGTAGAGGTTTCAAGGAATGTTTCGCAACACAAAATACGGGACGAAAGAGGTGCTGAAGTGAAAAAAAAGAATATGCAATTTAAAAAAGGATAATTAAAAAATAAAAAAAAGGAGAGAGAGAAGAAAAAATATTAAGCAAAGGAAGAGAGAGAAGAGAGAAGTGAAAGGAGGATCAAGGAGACGCCACAAAGTGGTGAACCGAGGAAGATGGACAGAACTCTCTGCTGAATCCAGATGTGGGAATGAAGGAGGAGAAGACAAAGAGAGAGAACAAGGAAGGAAGGAGAAATAGCAGGTAGAAATGGGTGGAATGGAAACAAAGCAAGGATAAAAATGGCAAAGATAGAAAGAAAGAGAATGTTCAATAAGGCCTGCATGAGGAGGAGAAGTCAGAGAGGCCCAGGGGAGAAAGAGAAGAGAAGGGACACAGATGAAACGGAGACTGCAGATTTCCTCTTCCTGGGCACAGCATCTCTCTCACAGCATCACTTTCTGACCAGTACAAGAGGTCCATATTGCCTTTGGATTGTTTCCTTGTCCATTCACAAGGTCTGAATTTGGTCCTCAGTATCTCAGTGACTCCAGTGCTTTGTTCTAAAAGACATTGTTTTCATGGTCAATCTCAAGGCTTCCTTTAGATCCAGGAAGTCTGAGCAACATTTAATGAAAATGTGAAAGAGGAAACCAGCATATTTCTAAATTAAGAGCAGATTTGAGAAGGATGAGGAAATCTGAACCACAACAAAGATAAATTTCCTTTTGTATTTCTTATTCAGTAAAGATGCAAGCAAAGGGTAATCAGATAATTTTTTTTAGCTTTTTATTTCATTCATTGTATCAGTAGATCTTCTACAGGCTTGGATGATACCCTGCAGTTTAACATTTTCTTTAGTCAACACATTGGTGGCAAAGGATTACAGCAGAGTTCTGGCTTCTCCTCTTTTTTTTTTTTTTTTGTAGTTGCCTTTATGTTCAATCTTGGAGTGGCTAAAAGCTAATTATTTAAATATTTCTCAAAATCTTTAATCTTTAAAGGTTTGAGTCTCTGTGAGAGAGGAAAAGGCAGAC